TTGCTAATCTAGCAACTAATCAGGAGCTTAATAATTAAACTCGATACTTTTACGCTCAACATAATCACTTCAGCGACATGCAGCAGAAGTCTCGTGGCATTTTCCCTGTCCCAACCCCAAAATTGACTCCCCCCCCCCCGATCACAGCAAAGATTAACGAAGGGCGACCTAATTAGCGCAACGAGCGAACCAGATACTAATTAGCGCGGGCGGCGCGGCGGCGCGCGCACCTACCCAGGTTGAAGTTGACGAACACTGCGTCCTCGTGAACATCTCGACCAGACCTATAGTCGCCCTGCGCTCCGCGCGCGTACAGCAGAACGCCGTCCGGACGCGTGTCCGCAGGCCGCCGACGCGTAGACCGTAGATGCGTCACTGTCGGTCTGGCGCGCGATCGTAGAGGTCGTAGCGCAGGAACGACGCCGCCGTCGAACTGCACAGACTTGACGTCGCTTGGAATATGCGTGGACGAGAACAACGCCGATGAGAAGAACAACACCGCGTTCGACGGACAGACAGACCAAAACATCGATCGGACCAATGGATTGCACAGACGAAACAGACGGACAAACAGACGAAACGCGATAGGACCAAAACACCAATGGACCAACGGCATGGACAGACAGACCGATGACGGATAGGTGAGATGCGATGGACCGAGAGACGTATGGACAGACCAAAACACCGATGGACGAACGTATGGACACACCGACGGATGGACAAACCAACGGACAGACAGACCGACAGACAGACGAACACATACATACCATAGCCCAGCCGTACAGCTCGCAGTCGATGCGCGAATGCTGTGCTGCCACAGCGAATCGGCACAATGCGCACGTACGCGAGCGATTGAGCGGCGCCGCCAGCGCGCGCGCGCGCGGACCGTGTGCCGGTGTCGTTGTTGCCGTCGAAGACCTGCGAGGGTGTGTGAGACACGATTACTATCTACCCACGAGAACTCACCCAACTAGCTGCGGGCCAGGTCACTCTGAACGTGTTATTTATTAATTTTATAATACAGCTGTACTATGATTTATGATACTTTAAATTATGCTGACTCAATCAAACGTGGTATAATTTCTTGATCTATCATTTTTAAGTGCTTTAATTAAGCTGTACACTAATCGAACGTGCGATAATTTAACATAAGCTAGGATTTAATTATATAGATTAATGTAACCAGCAAGAGTAGGTACAATAATGCTAACCTAACTCTTGTTGATCACATTGTTATATCTATAATTTAAGTGCTTATTATTTTTACGTTTGCTGTGATTGAGCTTGTAGTGTAATTGATTGCTATAGCTGTTCTATAATTGATCATGTTTTAATTGATCTGCATTATACTCGAGCAGTAGCATATATAAACGTACTACATCCAAAGCTACCTGCTCCCTCCCCCTCCATTCCCTCCCCCAAGTAATAATCATGCAGAATGCACACCACCAGGTGGCGCGATAGCCATGCTCGTCCTGGCAGTAATTGGGAGTATGGATTAGCTATCTCTAATGCACCGTTGGGCCCGCGTTGGGTTTTCTTCGCTGTATTACACAGCGTACATCGCTTCCAGTCAGCCGCATATTATATATATATATATATATATATATATATATATATATTTATATATATTATATACATATAGACTCGCATAAATCGACGAACATTAATTCTGGCTTGGACTTTCAAACACCTACGGCAGAATTTGAATTACCGTCAAGGAAGTAACGTAACAAATTGCACGCACAAATTGAAACTCAAAAGAGTTAACGC